GTAAGTTTCGAAGTAAACATTTAGTCCGTTTAAAATTTGCGTGAGTTTTTTTTCTAAAACAATTAATGGAATTCAAGTAAATATTTTATTACAATAAATGTTTATTACAAGATTTAATTTATAGATTGTTTAAATTCGCGACAATTGTTTATTTAAACCTGATAAATAACTACCAATTTTACTAGCATTACATTTAAAAACATTAAATAGTGTGCTTATTTAAATAAATATTTTATACATTTTGCTTTGTGTATTTCAAATGTAATTAATGATTTATTACTCTCTGTTTAATAAATAATATCTCAAACTAGAAACTTATTCTAAACAATATTTTAATTTGATTCCAATTAATTGGTCATTGGTATTATGTAAGTAAATTATTGTTCAAAACAAATCATTTTTTTGGATTAGATAAATTTTTTTTCAGTAGTGAAACACACGTTTTCAGTATATTATCAATCGAATATACGTAGATTCTGAACCAGTGGAGTGCAAGCCAATCGAATACTATGACACTGAAAGAGAGCGCACTAATGCATTCAATCAAATTCATTGTAAGATTAGATATTGAATGTTACTTTAAAAGAGGAATTATCAAAATTCGATGAAAATGTAACGGAAATTGTAACAGTTTACTTTTTGAGTAACAATAACAAGTTATTTTTTTAAATCAGTAATAAGTAACGATAACGAATTACTTTTATAAAGTAATTTTTCCAATTCTGCGCATATATATAATATATGTATATGATACTGATATAGTAGTATCTAACGATGTGTTGATATTTGTAAATTTTACGTGTATAAATTACATTTTATCGGTAGAACAAAACGCTGTTCGGTCTTCAGTTTGGAATCCCTTTTGTAACTTTTTTTTCAAAAATATGATTTTTTAAAAATCATGATCGGACATTATATTTAATTGAGCAGGAAAGGATTAAAACAAGAATTGAGTTTATTGAAATAAATATTTTATAAAATGTCATATTTTATGTTAAAATATGTTGCGAGATAAAATATAAAATATCACAAACTATTGTTCTATTATTTATAAAAGAATATGTGAAAACTAATACATAAAACAAATTAAATTTCATAGAACGTATCATCGTATAACATACATGACTAATAATTTAAAATCGACATCAGGTTGGTGTTTTATATTGTAAAATTTCTAAAAAAAAAAAAACAATGATAAAGTCAATATTTCTTTAAAGCATATTATTTATTAAGCCTTTAATTTTTGATGTACATCCTGAATTTTGTACTTAATATATATAAATGATAAACTTTGATAAGCGCACTAATTTCATTATTTCATTATTCATCTTTAGTCTGATGATTGACTTGAGAGTTTTCGACTTATATTTGCTTAAAACATGGCATCTGCAGTGAGTGAAATAGTCCAATCGATTACATATGTAATAATGCATACCGTTCAACATCAGTTAATAACAGTTCAACATATTCAAAATAATTCTAAAATACATATTTAAGTGGAATTCTGCAAATCGAAAGAGCATACTCAAAATGAAATATTCAACATTTAGCGTAGCTAAGTAATGAATGGTAATCCAATAAAGGAAAATCATGGCTAATATATTCTTAACAACACACTTATTTTACTGAACATTTTAATGAAAAATTTTCATGAGAGGAATTATAATCTATAGACTAATTTAATAAAAAGTAAGAAACAAGAAATCCAGGTTTTCCCGAATCCGGAGTACCATATAATTGTATCTGTCACAGGATTGATTCGATAGACTTTGATCTTGCAGAAAATGTCACTTGATCAGCCTATATTTCTCCTTTTTCTACTTACTGGTAATCTTTCGATTGGGTGACTATTTTGGTTTACCGAGTCCACCAACTCACACGAATCTCGTTGTAATGATTCTCACCTTAAAGCTATCCGGGCTAGCATTCGAAATCAATTCGGCAGCAACTGCACCAGCCGATGATGTTCAAGGAGCGAATTCCGACGCGCTCAAGAAAATTAATTTCATGGATGTGATACATTATAGCTTTGGTTATATGGGTGTACTAACAGGTAAGATACGACAAATAACTATAAACACAAAATTATAACAAATGTTCAAAAATTGGAATACAAATTATATTAATTAATTTTTGCAGGTCCGTATTACCGTTACAGAACGTACTGGGACTCTTTGCATAGACCGTTTTCCAACTATGTTGATCCATGGCCACTCACCTATTACAAACTCAAACAGATCACGGCGTTCATCATGTTGTTTCTAGTGATAAACTATCTCTTTCCCAGCGACGTAATGTTCACATGTTACATTACAAAGAGCCAAACATAAACTTTGTGATAGAATGGGATAATTTTAATCTTATTGCATTATTACAGTAGCTCCTAGACAATTAATATTATTGTTATACAATATGTGATATTGCATTAGGTTTGTAAAATACAAGATAGGACATTTAAAGTATTATCCCTGAAAATATGCAAAGTGCAGCAAAAAAATGTTTAAGATAAAAGTGATCACACAATAAATAAGGGAATAAAACTTTTAAGGAGGTACTCTAGTGTAATAAGTGTTTTTTCCAGAATTTATTTATGAAAAACTCATAAAAGTTATTGATATCAATTTTTTTACTATACACTTATTAATATTTAAGCAATTTGTACGAATTTTTATATAAAAAAAAAATAAAATTATCCTCAGTGGACCGCTTTGACGTTATCAATAAAAAAAAAACGTTTGCACATGGCTTCCATAATTGGAGCGGGGAGGGGGAAGGTTCTGCTTGTTCGAAATAAATCCAAAATGATTCTTAATTAGTGAATAATAAAAATATAAGGCATATAAGTGTCTAAAGTATATAAGTTTTATGTTGAAAAACTAAGGAATTACAAAATAAACATAAATATATTCTAATCGATTATAACATATTTCGATCTCTTTGATTGGGCCCTCTTCAAATGTAATAAACGCAAAGTTATTACATCAATAAAACAGTATAGTCATGGAATTCGATGTATACGTAAGTCGAAAGACCGGATGAAAGTTACTTAGTGTGATTATAAATAATTATACATAGCCGTAGTCCAATAAATAAGAACAACAAAGTCATTCCATATAAAAATAAATTCTCCAATAAATAAAAAATAATAAATAAATTATATGAAAAGATGTAAAATCAGTCACAGAATAAAATTAAAGATGTATAATTGTCAATGGTCATACACTGACTAAACGAAAAATAATCGAACGAGTGTGATCTTGACAATGCAAAGTCAGGAACCTCGTTTACAATCGGAATATATGCTTTATGTAAACCCTCAGTATCATAAGGATCCTCATGCTCAATTTTCGAAAAACTGTAGTTTATAATATTAGTGCAATAATTGTGATGCATCATATGTAGGACAGATGGGGAGACAGCTAAAAACACGAATCTCTGAACACCGAAATTATATACTCTGGAATACATCTGTTATAACCGAGCATAGATTAGAACTAGACCATGATTTTAATTGGAATAATATTGAAATTCTTGATGAAGAACCATGTTATAATAAGCAGGTAGTCTCGAAGATGAGTGTTTATTGAGATGACGTGTTTGCTTGCCCTAGAACTTAATATAATTAATAAAATTTACATTTGTTATTAGAACATTAAGAAATTCTTTTCAATTGGTCTTCCAATCTTTTAGCGAGCAATTTCCGTTCCTCTGTTCAACTTTCATCCGGTCTTTCGACTTACGTATACATCAAATTCCATGACTATTAATACTGTTTTATTGATATAACAACTTTGCGTTTATTATATCTGAAAAGGGCCTAATCTAGAGGCCGAATATGTTATAATCGATTAGAATATATTAACATTTATTTTGTAATTTTTTAATTTTTCAACATAAAATTTATATACTTTAGACTTTTATATGCTTTATATTACTTTTATTATTTATTGATACCAAAATTCCTTTATTATTATTAATTCTTAATTAGTATGCTTTTGGTATAGATACCAGAATGAATAAAAAGTATCGAAAATTAAAAAAATAACGTCACTTTGAAAATTAAATTTCGATTTTTGCAAATTTTTATCTTTAAAGGTTGTAAAAATAAAAAAAAACAATATATATTTTAATGTCACCGTGTTAGGGACGACAGACACGTCTTGTTTCATCCACTTCTCTTTACATATATGCTGAAAATGCATACAAGTTGCGGGCTCACTTTGTCAAGTCGATCTTGAGATCATAAAAGCTAATTCGAAGAATACAATTTCGAGAAAACGTGTTCAAAGTTTTGCATGCAGTTTACATAGAGAAAATTTTACTCGCCATTAATCAATCAGTTAGACCAGGAGACCCTCTTTTTGCTTGACAAATATTGAACCGCTATTTCCCCTTCCGCTAATCTATTCTAACTTACTTAGATCCCAGTTCCACAACTCACGATTAACTCTTAACCGAGGTTCAATTTATTCTTTATCTCTTTCCAATTCTAGAATTCTAAGTTGAACCGGTTAAAAGAGTTAACTATGAACTATGGAACTGGGCCTTAGCGAACTCACTTGAGCGTCGCTACAAACGGCTGATATGAATGTCGTTATGGAAATTGACGTACATCCGCTTGCTGGTCAATAGTCGCTCTCATTACAGTCATTTTCCAAATTGACAAAAATACTTCATTAAATATTATTATTGCTAAGAAAATGGCAATTTCAACAATTTTTAGTCCAAAATGAACGTGTTTATAAGCAAAAATTCAAATTAATAAATTTAAAGGCTATATATTATAAATTATTGTATAAATTACCCATATTACGGTGACCTCCCAAAATAATAGTCACACAAATCTTTGCTGAAATATACTTGCCGAGACAATGGGTGCTTTCCATTTGATGACACAAGTCGATACAAGCGTTGTTCTATCCTTGTTAACATTCAGAGAGTGACAAAAATAGAACGACACTTGTGCCGACTTGTGTCATCAAATGGAAAGCATCCAATATTATTGTACGTCGCACGGCGAGCGCATTGTAAATCTGTCTCTTTTAACCGTTGTAATTCCGTAAGTTTTGCGAATTGGAGTATAATTTTTTGCATACATTTTCCGCAACATACACTTGCGAAAAATGCAAAGAAATTCTATTTTTTTATTCGTTACATTAGGATACCTCCTTAATTTTTTAAAGAGGGAGCCTGGTTTAGGTAAAAAAAAAAAGATAATTTTTCGTATTTTTTTTTTTTAAAGAAATAGTAATGTTAACGGCGTAATGAGCCAAGCATGATGTTAGTGCAAGACTAGAATTTAATGTTAAACACTTTCTTTATTAATAAATTTTACCTCTCAAACGTTTCGATTCACATCGATACCATCTTCAATGGATAGAAACTTACAAGCTAGTATAAATGTAATCTCGCATAATTTACATTCTTCCAAAAAATCTTATTCAAGAGTAAAAAAAAGACCGCATAAGTACTCTTAAAACCATACAACTTTTGTTTAAAAAATTGTTTTCTATCTTTTATACTTTCGATGATATTTGTCTTGAAAGAGAAGTACCGTTTTTTTTTTCGAAGGGATATTTCCTAAACATGTGAGATTCTGCCAGTATAAAAAAATATTCTTAGATTTTTTGTTATATTTAACAACATACGTCAAGGTGAATTAAATCGATTGCGAACAGTTGTGATATGTTCCTTATCAATATATTTTGTTAACCAAAAGTTCTTTGAATTATGTTGTATATACAACTTATGAAATATTAATTCGTCTATGAGATACTATTGTGCAATAAGATACCCATTCATACTAATTCTCAATCTGAAATTGAGTTTCTACTTACGTTTTCTGATTGCAAATGTGATGACAGTATAATAATCATTATAATAATTTTAATAATTCGTTCTTTTCAATTTCAGTACACGCAAACAGTAATGTTCGAAGAGCACTGTTTCCTCTATAGATTTTTCTACATGTATCCGGCATTCGCTGGTTTTCGACTGAGAATGTTTATCGGTATGGCGTTGGCCGAATGTGTCTGCCAAATGTCAGGATTAGGAGCTTACCCGGTCTGCTGTCAATCCGCACCTGGTCTGGGTCCACGCGATTACAAAATGATTGAAAAATTGTACGATTTCTTTATTCTATTTTGAGATATTTATATTCAGCAAGCCGCTTTTCTATTAGCTAATGATTTACATGATTACATTTATATGCCGTTTCTCAGCGCTAACAAGGAGAGAGTCACATATGTATTTCACGGATTTTGATCAGCTTTTGCATGATTATTCTGGGGCACCAAAAAATAATCCCTGCAAAGGAGCAAATTGCACCTCTGCGTATTTTTCCCTAATAACATCCCTTGTATAATATCTATAATCAGAGAATATGGGAAGTTCACAAGCAAGCAATCTGTTAATATAATAATTTTCCAGATCGCTTGATCACGAGAGAGTGGAAAAAGAGAAACAGGATTTCGAAACGGTGCATAACATGAATGTGTGGGAAGTGGAATCATCTCCGTTTGTCAGGCACACGATGAAAATGTGGAATACATGCGTACAATATTGGATGGCTGTGTGCATTTACAAAAGATTCCCTCATAAAGGTTTAAGAACCATCGCCACAATGACTTTATCTGCTCTATGGCATGGTTATGCTGCCGGCTACTATTTTTGCATCTGTCAAGTCCCGCTCTATCTACCTTTCGAGGACATCTGTATTAAATTTTACAATCAATGCGAAGAAAATAAATTTGTAAGTTGTTTATACGTAAATTTAATGATATAGAAATGTAAAATCCATTTTGGTATTATCTAATAGAAAAAGATAGGATAAAATGGATTTCTTAAGCGAAATGACTATATTTTTTTTATTAATGACAAAAAATAAAAAAGGAATATTATTTGACTGTTAAATTAAAAAAAATAATTTTTTCAAAAGTTATAAGCAAAGTTGCAAAAAAATTTTACATAATTAAAATTCAGGAAGAAATTACTTATAAAAAAAAAGTAAAATATCATATAAAAAAAGCATTATAATGAAAAAATGAAGCATAAAGATAAAAAGTTCTGCTTTATAATTTTACAATCGCAATTCTTCAATTTATAATTGTTTTGATTATTATATTAGCAGAGAATGAAAAAGTTTCTTTTCCATTACTTTACGATTACTTTTTATAATATCAATTTAATAATGATGTTGCAATTTTTTATAATTGTAATGATGACTAATGCTAAGGTTACACTAAGAAAGTCACTTTGAAATTGTCATCATTACGTGTTACTCATTAAGAAAAATAATAAGTAACGAGTAATACCGTAAAGTTACTACATTACAAGTTACATTAAAAAGTAATAAGTAACGAGTTGTAAATTGAGAGTTATTTCTTTTTCAGTAACGAATGACTTTTCCAACCCGTTACAAATAATTATGACTGTTCCAACTCTGGTGTTACATTATCAACATAATAAAAAAATTCGCAACGTCACTATTAAATCAGTATTACAAGATAATTAAATCGATGTTCGAGACACAAAAATAACACAAAAAAAAACATTCATATAAACATTTATTTTATCTGATCTTATTTTCGAGTTAGTTATAGATGTTTTCGTGTTTCATTAATTCTCGACACAAACTAGCTAGCATTATAGTGTCATCACATATCTTCACGTGTCTTATTGACTATTAATAAACAAATAAAAAAATATATAGTTATAATATGGCTATAAGAATCAAAACGGATTATTTCAGAAGTGTTTAATTAAGCTTCATAAATATACTTTGGTATCATGAAAAGCTTGTTTTGATTGTTATCGAAACAAATCATATTATATTATATTTTTCCTTTAGTAAACACGTTCTATATGAAGAAACATCCTGAATATATTATAGCAGAGAATATCGTCTTAAAAAAATATCTTTTCTTTGTGAATCATTATTTGAAGAATTTTGTTTACCTCGAAACTTAAAAATCTTCTACGTTGTAGAAAAAATATAATATATAAATTAAGTTATATAAGTCGTATTTATCAGTTTAGATTAAACTTATAAATATCTTGAGATAAAGGTATATCTATTTTTAAATAAAACAAAATTTTTCTAAAGCGATGTTTTCATATATTGCAAATATTAATTCACGTTATTTATAATATTTTCTCACAATGAAATGCAGGGCAAGAAGGCGTGGAGATTCTTCCTCTGGTGGGCGAAACTTACATGCATGGCGTATCTTGGTGTGCCCTTCCAATTACTGCGCTTCCAAGAAATAATACATTTTTACAAAAGTTTATATTTCTCCGGACATATCTTAGGGCTTGTAGCCTATCTCGTCTCACGAACCCTAAAAACTCGCTTTCTTAAACAACAAACGGAAGAACATAAAAAGAAATAATTTTTCTTGCTTTATGTTAGCTTAAAAAAAAAAAGAGATTCGCATTTCAACGCGAAAGAAACATGTTTCGATTTAATCATTTGTTAAACTCTTGATCCATTAGAAGAAATCGGTTTTCAATTATCATTTGATATTTTTTTATAATTGTTATTTTTTTTATTTAGTATAGTACTTTCTTTAAAATCTTACGTAAAGTGCTATACAAAATGTTTCCTAACATGTGAAACGCATTGGATGGGCGATAGTTACATAATGAAAAAAGATCCTATAGATATGTATCCTTTTGATTTTGTTTCAGAATTATAGTCATTTTTTTCTTGCAGTAATGTATAGTTGCTTATCTTTATAGGAATATTTGAAGTAACCTTTGGTTTATAAAGCATGCAATCGTGTCAAAGAATTTCTCAATCTTTCTTCCAGGGCTCCGCTCCTTCCCCTACATCCCCATCCCGATTTATCCTGACCTACTCAATCTTTATGTGATTGTGAGATGAACTTCGGTTTGCGTGGAAGGTCATTAATTTCTGTAAGCAGGGAGAATGGGGTAAATTTTATGTTCTATTTATAAAACATTTTGTTAATAACTTTTCAATGAATAACGAGCGCGGATTAAAATCTTCCTAGGATCACTCAGAGCCATGACCTTGACAATGTATTATATGTCAAGGTCATCGGAGTCTTCAATATTTATCGTATTTTGAATATTTTATTTAGAAGAAATAGATAGCTAAAGAAGAGTACAAATTTTTGCGACGTTCAGGGATTCAAACTTTAAATGAAATTAATAAAATTATAAAATCGCTGTCAATTATACTTTAATAATTTAAAAACTAATTATTCCCTTCCTCCCCCTCCCCTTTTTCTCTCGTAACGATGCAAGAATCATTTTATTAACTTTATATCGATGTATCAATTTTTGCTTAAGCATTATTATGATTTTTCGGTTTCTATGAAGAAAAATGCAATGTAAGACAATGTAAAAATTAAACGATCCCTAAACGGTCGCAAAAATTTGTACTCTCCTTTAGTTATTTCTTTATTTAAATAAAATATTCAAAAAATCCAGAAATTCTCTTATTTATGAAAGAATAGTATGCTAAATTGGAATTTTAAAAATTTATACGTTCTTTTCGACTTAATTTATGCAATTACACCATTTCTCTTATCTTTTGATATTATATCGCAATTGCCGCACAGATATGTGTCAACAATTATGAGATATAAATACTTATGTACATTAAAATTGGATTGCTATTTGTAACATTTTTCATAACTATTTTGTCAATTTTCATTAATTTTTCTTAATGCTCAATTTATTTAATTTTTTTAATGAGATAAATTATCAACGTAAGAAAACTCAACGATTATCATTTAATATTTATTTTGGCAATTTATTCCAAAATTATATTCGTGAATGAACATGTAATCAAAAGATCAAGCAATGAAATTCCAATGCGTCAAAAAATTGTTCTTATCTGTGCCGTTTTTTGTCCCATGCGTCCTTGTAGTGGTTTGTGTTAGTATAGATTGTATCGAACTTTTACCCCGAAACTTTGATTGGCTCGTTATTCCCTGTGCTTTTCATTTAATGACACAAGTCGACACAAGCGTCGTTCTATCCTTATTTGACATTCAGAGAGTGACAAAATTAGAACGACACTTGTGTGTCATCAAATGAAAAGTATCCATTATGTTTATTATCAAAGTATAATCTTCTTCTTCTTTA